TTGTACATATAGTTTTTGTTTATATACGTAAATGCTGCACTTTTAATTGATTATTTAGTCTTTAATATATCTTGTTGCACTAAAAGGCCAATTTGGTTTCCTCCAAACTAGTACGTAGCCCGTGCGATGCACGGATAAACAATATGACTTTCATAGCATGTAAAATTATGTTATCATACGTGCATAATATAATTTACATCTTAAGTTCATATTTTATGTTCTTTTTAATGGAATAAAATCCTTCGTTTCAGGGATCATATGTATTTAATTTGTCCAAATTTATCTACATATCAGCAATTTAAATTTTGAATTTGAAGATAACCCGAATCTATGATTGCAAAATATCGTTTAATAATTAAATCAGCCACAACTTTATGATTTGGTGTTTTGAAATTTAGAAAAAAAATAAAATCATTAATTTGGGGGAGATATGTGATAAATCTATCTAAATATTGTATGCATCACGTTTTACAATTAAAGCAATTTAAATATGGAGATTAAGATATTTTGAATATCTGATTTAAACAAAGACCATAAAAATATGATTTGGTAATTTGAAATTTAAAATAAAAATAAAATCATTAATTTAGAGGATGATATGCGATAAATCTATCTAAATCTTGTATACATCACGTTTTACAATTAAAGCAATTTAAATATGGAGATTATTCTTATTTCGAATCTCTGATTTAAACAAAGACCACAAAAATTTTGATCATTTCAAATTTAGACCCGTGTATTATTTTTCATAATAAATAATTGTCAAACAAAACAATTGAATCAGCCGTAACTTTATTCTTTTAGTTGAAACTGCTCGATTTGATGGTTAGAAAAAATGTTTTCAAAAGAAATAAACAAATAATTTTTTTATTATATTTATATTAACCGTACTTTTTTTAAGAAATAAAATTTGCTAATCAAAACATATGTATTAGCCGATTTTATAGAAAAAAAAGTTTTCGATATTTTGAAAATACAAAAATATATTTTTAATGTTAGAAAAAATAACACATAGTTTTTTTTATTAAATCGATCGTAACTTTTTTATTGAAAAAAAGTTGGAAAGCAAAGAAATTGTATGAGCCGAATACCTGGGTTTAAATTTGGAGAATATAATTGGCCGATATCTATACTTATATTAAAGGGGGTACTATTTACTAAATGTAGTATGTAGAATAGTCAACCTTAATTAATGATTTGCTATTTTTATCAATCATTTAATTAATGCATCTAATATTTTTGGTATGCAAATCAAATTAGCATTTAATTAATTCCTAAAATATTGAATATGTAATATTAATTTAGGAATATTCATGTAGTTCCTAAAATGTTGGTATGCAATACGTAAAAGAAGATTTTTTAATTTTTTTAAATATAAAATATTGCAACACGTAAAACTATTCCAGTTATTTTTTTATTTTATTTTACATATAAAATTTAATCAATATTTAGTGTATCCTACAAAATTAGATTTAGTTTAATTCTCCATACAATTGGTTGTAACTTTTTCAGTTGTACATTTATTTATTTATTTATTTTACACTTTTAAATTAATGAAGCTCTCCGAACATTATTAGGTAGTTTCAAACATTATTTGTGAATAATATAGAATATTTTAGATGCTTTTATAGATGTTATAAAATATTTTAAGTATTTTTAATATTTATATATCACACTTAAAAAGAATATTTTGCCAAAAAAAAAAATTAAATACACATTGTAAATGTTAATAAAAACAGTCTTCAGTATTCATCTTTGATTTTGTCAAAACAAATCTCATAAAATCGGTGAAGTCAAAATTTGTACGTAAAGTCTATCTATACTAAAAAAAGGTAGATTCAAAATTCTTTATCTAATTTCTTCTTTTCCTTATGTAATTCCTTCTTATTATCTAATTGTATAGAAATCTGTTCTGATTTTGTTCAATCCTCTAATTGTATTTGTATCATATCCCATAAAATCGGTTTAACAAAAAAAATCCCATAACATCCGATAAGTAAAAATAAGTACGTAAAATCTTTACTAACATAAAAAAGGCTTTATTTATTATCTAATTTATTATCTAAATGTATGGAAATCTGTTCTGATTTTATAGTACGTACTACAAATTGTGCACCCGTGTTCAGGAGCTACTTAACGAGCAAGCTATGTGGAAATAACTCATTTAGTGCTTCTGTCTCGTGCATACGGTATGTATTTGTATTACACATACTAGAAAATTGTGCACCCCGTGCATCGCACAGACTCTGTACTAATAAATGACCTTAAAATTGTGCACCCCGTGCATCACCCGTGTTCACATTTTGGCCTATTACAGGTCACGTACTATATATATCCCGTACATTTTTTTTATTCATTTATATAATTATAAGACTTGATAAATAGTCTTAATTTTGTGCACCTCGTGCATCGCACAGGATCTGTACTAGTTTAATTGAATTAGCAGCCATGACGTACATTTTTATTCAAACTTAAAAATAGCTTCTTGTAACCAATAACCAAATTTAATTGATGCATCCCATGCATTATCAACTTTTGATATGCACATCGTGTCAAGCCATCACAAATATTCAATAGACCAAATTTAAATAGCAGCTCGCTTTTTTGAAAATAAAATAGTAACAAACTCCTCAGGACAACATTTAATGTTGTCCGTTTTTAGTAAAAAAAAATATTAAAAAGATACTGTAAATGACATGTAATTAATGTTGATCAGTTTGGACCAAGGATTGACTTACTATTTTTTATAAATAGTAATTCTTATTATATAATATATATATATATATATATATAGATTATATTTTAAGATGCATAATAAAGTAAAAATTTTATAATAAGTACGGAAATTGTACAATAAAATAGTATTCGACAAATTAACAATCATATATAATTTCAAAATTTATTTCAGCAGTAAATTTATTTATCTTTTTTTGACTTAAATTGTGATTAGATAATATAACTTAATTATTTTCTACCTAGAAAAAAAACTTAATAATCTGTAGTAAATTAATGGATTGCCACACTATAATGAATGAATGGTTGATGTACCTTTAGTATTTAATTTAATTTTTTAAAATAATGTGCAAAACATGAACTTTTTGATTTTTTAATAAATAGTAATCTGTTATTTTTAATAAGAAGAGTAATAATGTCTTACTTGTGTAGTCAAATTTAAATATTTAAGCCGAATAAGTCTACTTAATAATCTATGTTGCTTTTATGTCAATTTAATTTTCCCTATTTCATTCATGTATTGCATATGATGACATTTACTTACTCTAATGAGATTTTGTTTTTTAAATTTGTAATAAGCAGATTTATATTATTATTATTATTATTATTATTATTATTATTATTATTATTATTATTATTATTATTATTATTATTAT